TGGGGCTATGAGGGGCCTGGGTGGCATCCCCTCCCACCCCACTCCAGACCCCTCATAGCCCCCCCTTCTGATAGTCCGGCATATTTGATAATCCAGCACCCTCTGGGTCCTAAAGGTGCCGGATTATCGGAAGTTTACTGTAACTATATTACAAAACCACCAGTACCTCTGACAACAATTGGAGCTCATTTGTATTCTAGGCAGCAGCCCAGGAGTAAACTGGCATGGAGGAAATTATATCCTCTTGATCCCTCATAGCCCCCCCTTCTGATAGTCCGGCATATTTGATAATCCAGCACCCTCTGGGTCCTAAAGGTGCCGGATTATCGGAAGTTTACTGTAACTATATTACAAAACCACCAGTACCTCTGACAACAATTGGAGCTCATTTGTATTCTAGGCAGCAGCCCAGGAGTAAACTGGCATGGAGGAAATTATATCCTCTTGATAATAGAAGAAATATGAACAGATCTATGAGGAGAATTGTGCATTACTGCTGCTCATACTACACATACTCTGTGGGAAACAGACTTTGGGCTCCCATTGCTCTAGTCTGACAACTGTGATGAACCACATTATTTTATCTTATAGTTGGCTGCCTGTACATAAACCTAAATTAACAATGTGTTTTGGAACCTGCTGAGTGGTTTGTACAATTTTAAAGCAAATAGCTCAGAAAAACAAATACAGTTGAACATAAATTACTGCATCTTCAGCTGACCACAATATAATAACCAAAGAAAGATGCAGTTGTGGGGTTGATGCTTAAGGCCCTTAATATAGACAAGTATGTTCTTAAGTCTATTGACTTAAGTGCTTCCCCAAAAAGGAACCTAAGAGAAGATGGCCATACCAGTTTGAATATACTTGATCCTAGTAATAGTCTAAAGGCACATGAAATTGGTCATAGTACCATATTTGGATAGTTGACATGTCTCTGTTTGGGTCTTCTACCATCCTGATTTTATTTTACTCATTACCAATAATAGGTCTTCCCTTTACAGTAAGTTGAATCCTCTACTCTTCTCTCTGAAGGAACTATTCTGGACAAAATCTTTTGCTTTCATCTCTCAGATAAACTGTTACTAACAAAAGAGATTTTTCTTAGGCTTAATATATAGCTCTATTGTTGCTGAATGCAAAGATCCATGGATTAGCACTTTGCTGGAATGGATTTGTCACAAACCAGATAAAGTTTCATTTAGCACACAGGCTGTCATGCTGCAATGAATTCCATGTGGGTGGAACTCTGGGCCCCACTGAAGTCTATAAAGCTCTGCATAGATCTAAGGGTTCACGCTACAGAGCTCACTAAAGGCTCCAAGCCTTCTGTATGTTTTAAGATCTATACTGTTAGTACATTAGAAAATGGTTCCCAATTATTCTGATATCTCTCTACAATACCTTGATTCCCCCTACCTCCAATTTGTGAACATTTCTTATATTCTTGAAAATATACTCTTTGTAAAGTTGTATGCTAAATCCAATTTAATGCAATGGTAAAATTGATGTTCCACAGAAATTCAGAGTCTCAAGCAACTACAATCTCTCTTTGCTTCATGTCTGCGTGAATATAAAACTGTAACAGATTAAGCTAGTATTTTAAATAAACATGACATTCCTTTGTACAGTCCACACACACATCCCTTCTGGGTGTAGTGTATTGTCCATCTAGGGGCACTGAGACCACTTACAGCGAGAATAATGAGTCTGCACTACAGCCTTAGCTATGAGGCTATGGCCCTAGTTTCAGCATTTCTCCAGAGCTGGAGCTGTGGGCCACATCACGGGCAGTACCTCCTCTGGTGGCCCTGGCTGGGACCAGAGCCTGAGCTATGTGGTGGGCAGCTGCTCCTCTAGTGGCCCCAGCTGGGGCTAGAGCCGGAGCCACATCATGGGGAGCCAGCAGCTACTCAACCAGCCCTGGCTGGGGTCAGAGCTGGAGCTGCGCTGGGGTGGGAGTTGATCCTTCCAGGCTAGAGCATCTCTGCCTGTGATGAGCCAAGCCCCACAGAGCTGGAGCAGCCCGCTGGTTGACAATAAGGGTGATGTTAACCATTCACATGCCAATTTTGAATAGGAATATAATAGTTGGGGTTTATTATTTTATACTGATTTTGTGTATTTACACACGCATGCATACATGCGCTAAGTTGGCTTTTGTTTTTAAGCCACCCAAGTGGTGGCCTTTTTTGAGCTTTTAAGTAAGAAATTTTTTTACATTTATTTTATAGGAATACCTATCATTTTAAATTTTTATTTTATGATAATTTGTAGTTTTAGTTGCTTTATTATTGACAAAGGGATATAGGGTGTTTCTTTTGGGTTTCTCTTTTTATTTTCACTTATTTTATGTTTAATATTAATCACTTAAGGAAAATAAAAGTTAAACTTTGTGAAAGCATCCGGACATCGAAGAGTTAACTAACGAAGTTAAGGCTGTCAGTAGATGCTTGCTGCCAGATAAAGAGTAGCTGTCAGTTTTGCAACCTTGAATAAAATATCTGAATGTATTGTTAGTGGAATTTTTAAAAAGCTGATTATATATATATATATAAATTTTTAAGTATTTTTTTGAAAATGTGAGGTCCCTTGCTATATTTATTATGCGATACTAAATGTTTTCAAATTTCTTGGCCTACCTTTTTCTAGCTGAAGTTTTTAACTTTTATTTTTAAAATGATTTTAGACTTTCAAGGAGCTTTGGGGGGCATGTATGGAAATTTCAAGTTATGAACAAATGACTCATTTAAGTTGATTACATTTCTAAACTGCTATTCATTTTCATATTGAAGCTTTGACCAAGGTTGGTTTTCTTTCCAGCTGAGATCTCTTTTGGCCTGGGCTTTGATAACTTCTGTATTTTAGCAATGTTTAGCGCCATCTTTTCCTTCCATATTTCAGCTATCTGATCTTAACTAAATTTTTTATTGTTAAACAATTTAAACAGGATTGTTCTTGTACCTGCTGCAACCATCACAATTCACTATAGTTCATTATTTACAGGCTCATTTGTTAGGAAGCACCCGTTTCCTTCAGAATGACTGTAGGGCCTTCCGTGTTGTGTGTGGTTACAAATCACATAATGCAGGAGTGGTCAATAAGCAGATTGTGGAACAAAGACAGTACATGGGCACTTAGGGTCATTCATAATAATAAAGATGCATGGGTGAAAGTATTGATTTAACAGCTCTCTTTATTCTTTGTGACTGGGAAAGGGCTGTTTAGTATTCTTTCACTCATGGATGGAAAATCTTAGGAAACACTGTTCATAACCCTCTCTATCTCTAGTATGCACTAATGCACCACCATCTTATATTTTATTTCCAAGTCATAAGTGACAGAACATTACCATGTATGCAAAGGTGAGACAGTGTGAATTTCCAGACATCAAAGTAATCTATTAAAAATAGATATACATGATGCAGTAAAGAAAACTGCAACGGCAGGTTGACTTCATAAACTTGGTATAATTCCAAGCCAAAATAATTCTTATGCTGAAGTTAATGTACTGTAAGGTTTTTGAAAACATAACAATAAATATTATTACACCTATACTTTAAACAAATTTTACTGAGAACACAAATGAGCCCTCAAATATACAACTGCATGCTGGCAAAACTTAGTATTTGGGGTTTATCATGTATTTCCATATTACAGACACTATTTACATTCACAAAAGCAGGTTTTCTAAGTAATTACCACCATCTCAGCCTGAAAATTTGTCTCCTAATACTAAGTGCATTTAGCCAACTCAATCCAATTTCTAGTTTCCAGAATTGGAGTTTTCAAAGATTTCATAGTGCAGACCACATCTTAATATAGTGTCTCAAAGACTGCATTATCTACCATACTTGATTGTGTGGTTCATCTCCCTTGTCAGTAGTGATTGAGTAACATCTCTGTGGCAATTACAGCAATAACTTTACATGGAAATGTAATATTAGGAAAGAATGTAATGTATGTTAAGCTTATTTGAAAGTGATTTAACAGCTGGGAACAAAGAGCCAGCATCATGAGATCAGCCAGTAAGTGCTCAAACCAAGATAAGCTAAACCAGAACGAATTCCTTTTTATATCAATGCAGTATATCTACATTTCGGAATTGCAATGCTACAGCTACATTAATGTATTTACAGCGGCATTTGCAAAGTGGACAAACACCATAACTTGGGCTATCCAAAAGTGACAAATGAGAAAAAGTCATCTGTGAATAGTGGACTAAAGGAGACAGCAGAACAGACAACTGAAAATGTGACTTGTAACTTAGTAGGGCAGCTCCATTATGATTCCACAGAAGATCACTGTTACCCACTTCTGTGGAATCACAGAAAAACTGCTGGCTACAATTACATTTATATCACCAAAAGCAATAACAAAGTATTATGCTCAGCCAAGTAAGAAAAAGAAGATCTGCCCTATTTCCTGTCCCTCCTTTTCTGCTTCTCTTGATATGCTGTTCTGCAGGAGCACTGTTTCCATCCTCCTGCTCCCTGACCTCCAGGAATAAACTAGAAGTAAACTTTAACTGTGGAATCTATTCAGCTTCATGAACTATTGGTGTAATTAAGAAATTTTAGGACAATGAGCATAAACGTGAAGGTTATTAAAACCTTGGTAATAGCTATCATGCATTACATGAGGATTATTTACCTTTCAGGTACCCTGGGAGCAAAGCAAGATGTAGTAGAATGAACACAGAGAACATTTTCAGCCCCAAGATCCTGGATTTTAGCCTCCACCGCCTTTATGTCTGTGCGCAGCTCATCACCTTCTAATACATTCTCTATCACCACTGGCTCAAAACCTAACCCAGCCAACAAAAATAAGACAGTGTGTATTAAGCAGTAATTGTACACATCTATATCTTCAGGCTAGATGCATGCTTTTTGGCTCTGACTTAATTTCAGACAATTTTCTATTTCTACTCATTTGTTCTGGTAAGAGACTACTTTCATAGGCTTGGAAACATTAAAAACGCTGGTGCATAAATGATTTTGTTATATAGTTAATGTAACAGACAACTTCACTGGTGCCCACTACTCTCTGGAGATCTTGGGCTAGGTAGGAGCTAGTGCCCTTTGCAAATTGAACAACATAGTAGCAACAACTTCAATGAAATCTCCCTTAATAAAACAGATACATTCAGAGAGAAGAGATTACTTTTTTAAATATTCAGGACAAGACAGACAGTTAAAAGGAAATCAGACAAAAGGACTTCCTTTCAAGGTTCCAAACTTCTAGGCTACATCTAGACTGGCATGATTTTCCGCAAATGCTTTTAACGGAAAAGTTTTTCTGTTAAAAGCATTTGCGGAAAGGAGCATCTAGATTGGCATGGACGCTTTTGCGCAAAACCACTTTTCGCAGAAAAGCATCTGTGCCAATCTAGATGCCGTTTTGCGCAAGAAAGCCCCGATCGCCATTTTTGCCTTTGGGGCTTTTTTGCGCAAAACAGTTTTTAGCTGTCTACACTGGCCCTCTTGCGCAAAAAGCATTTGCGCAAGAGGGCTTTTTCCCGAGCGGGAGCAGTATAGTATTTGCGGAAGAAAAAAGTAATTTAAACAACTATCTACATGCAAAATGAGAATTAAAACGTTATTTTCTATTATGGAAGGAAGTCATAGAATTTGTATTTTTTAAAATTAATTATAAATTATTTAAATTCCATCCATACCAAGTTGCCAGTTTAGCAATCCATTTCACATATTAATTTCCATCTATGCAAAGAAGTTTATACTGAACTCTCATAAAGCCTGACCCCATTGCAATCATTCAGAATTTTTCCACTGAATTCTAAGGATGTAAGATCGAGTTGATCATGCTAAATTCTTGAATTTCCACTCTGCAATGGAAGCATCAACATCTTCCCTTCTTGGACTAACAACATGCGTGAGCTCTGCAATGTTGGAATGGATGAAGTGAACCCTGTCCACAAGAACATGGACTAGACAAACCATCATATTTCAACGACTTTGTCACTGTTGTCCTAAACTGGTTTCAGACTGCTGAGATAGATACAGTCATTTACCCTAATTGCTAATACCTAGATATCCAATACTTTCATTGTTTCGGTGACATCCATCTTATGTAAATCACTGAAGTTTCGAACAGCTCAGTCAGTTTTAAGCCTGTGTAGTTAGAATGCTACACTGTATGGTAAATGCACCTTCTTCCCCTTACCTGCAGTTATCATAGATTTAAAGCAGGATTTCTGGTCTATGCGTGGCCAAATAATATACTTTGCCTTTGGTCTCTTGTGCCGCAATGTTAAGAAACACAGTGTTAGACTCATGCCAGTTGCCATAGGAACCACAAAGCAACTGGTCACTGTCCGGACACCTGTATGTAAAAAACAAATCAGGTAGTAGCATTAAGTAATTTTTAACTGACATATACACCCCATAAGAAAAATATCAGGTTCACACCTACCAGCCAGTTTTAGAATGTCCAAAACTATTGAATTAGTAAGCTTGTTCAAAAGGCTAGAACCAGCAGCTTTAGGCTGCACAGCAGAAATATCACCTGACCTTCCAATTCCGTGGATTAACCTTAACAAAAGAAGTTGAAAATATATATTAAGAATTTTTCAAGTCTTATAGCGGTATTTCTTGTTTTTTGAAGAGCATCTGGTTTTACAAAATGTCTTATCCGATGCGACACTAGAAATCAGATAATTATAATATTAACATGAAGCTGACTGAAATATTTCACTTCTGTACAATAAAGACATAAAAAATAACAGCTTATTAAAACAGTAACAGACAAGGACTATAATAGTGATTTATTTATTTACCAGGTAGACTTCCTGGAAGAAAGGGATATGAAATGTCAGCAGTGCTCTATGTCCCTCAGATTATGCTACAAATGACACTTTGCACACACAGCAGCCCTATTTTTGAAGAATAAAAAAGTAGTACTGTATTATACAATATAATATAGATCCACGGGATTTTACAGATGGTGTGTCTGATAAACATTTCACAACTGTAAATAAGTGGTTTCATATGCTTCGTTAAAAATAAATTTTAAAGCATTTATAATAATACATGCTCTGTTTCCCTCCACATCTTGTTTCTACCCACTCCGCATTTTACGATCTCCTCCTACTCAATCTATGGAGTCCTATCTTTCTTTGCATTCTTGCATCTTCCTGGCACTACTCAAATTACATGTATAAAAATGGAATATTATTTAGCACATTTCAGGCTTGAAGGATCACATAACTCTATGAATTACACACTTACAGAAATAACTTCACCCACTGGTGAAATGCAGCAGCTGCATAAGAAAGCTCAGCAACAGCATTCACCTGCTGATTATTTTAATACCATTTTTGTCTTGGGTACAGTGAGAAATATAGCCATATGCATCTGCTTGCTGAAAAGGTAACAGAGCACTTTTAGAATGGTTTTATATCTTAAGCTTTTTTCTCCCACTTACAGTGTAAAGACAGGAATACTTAATTGGTTTGACCATGAAAGAAGTTTGCTTGTAACCCTCACTTTACAGTTACAAAAATGCTGTGCTCCCCTGCTATGCCCTCAACAGATCACCCTTCTCAGTCTATATGTTCCTTATTTCTCTTTCCTCGTCTGGATCTCTACATAATGTGCTCTCTCAGCCCATTTGTTTTGTGTTTAATATGGCTGAGGAAAAAAAAAAAGATTACTCTTAAACCACTGCCTGATGTTTCCCCAAGTCTTTTATTTAATTGGCAGGAGAATGGGGATGGAACAAAGAACTTGTTAGTACAGGGATGGGGAACCTTTTTTGGGTTAGAGGCCACTGACCTATAGAAAAATCAGTCAGGAGAGGGTCAGTGGGGACTGCAGTGCCAGTGCAGGCTCCCCAGTACTGAGGGGTGGAACCCTTAGCCCTGGGAGCCAGATCCAGGCAAGCTGGAGACCGCATCTAGTCCCCGGGCCTTAGGTTCCCCACCCCGTCTTAGCAAAATTCCTTCTCTCTCCCATTACTGAAGCTAGTAGGAATCAAGTGGCACATAAGGCGACAGAGCTGTCCCAGCTCAGCAGCAGTTAAGTGACATCCTCTGCTCTGTCACCTGCAATATATTTAGCTCCTAGACTACCACACTCTTTTAGGGAAGCCAAGTAGCAGCACTTTTTGGAAGGAGAAAGAAGCTCTGAGATGCCCCATATCTCATAGCTCAATCAAACCAGAGACTGACTACCGAATTGAGGATGGAATGGGCGAAAAGATAGCCATGATACCTCCAGGTTTGCTCTCCATTAGAACTATTCTTCCTCAAGAACTGCAGAGGCTTTTGAAAATTGCTGGTTTCCTATGATCATGCAATAAATTTAAAGAACTTCAATTTAGAAGTAATAGTGCGGGAAAATACTATATCTAGTTGCAACCGCAAAAAGGAATTTAGTTCCTTGGTTTTATTTGGAAGTCTCATTATAAAATTGGATTGGACAAACTCAGCTTATTTTGTGAAAGTGAAATTTACTAGAATACTGGTCTCCAATATGTCCTCCTGCCAACTCTTCAGAGATGGGGATTCCAGTAAATTTTATTCTGCTGACATTACACATGACATAACAATAGAACACAAATAATTGGCATAAGCTAGCAACCCAAACCAGTGGAACTAGATAAAGCAATATCCACAATGTCTCAAAAATTCAATATTCAAAGCAGCCATCAAATCTCACAAGACTCAGGCCTTCAAACTATTAAAAGCCCTCCTGTCCCATAACTCTCCCTCCTTTGAAGTAATCAATATTAAGTGACTTGGTTTATGGTCATGTCAATTAATCTCTGTCATGAGTAAATAATTACAATACAGGCAGTCCCCGACTTACGTCGGATCCGCACTTACGAACGGGGCCTTCTCGCCCCGGAGCTTGCAGGCAGCGGTCCCGCCACCTCGACCTCCGGGGCGAGAAAAGCTGCTCCCGGTGCCCCTGGTCTGCTGGGGACCATCTCCAGCAGACCAGG